TTTCTCGACCCGCTCTTTCATTTGAGCCCAAAAAAACATTCATATCTTGTCTGACATCGCTGCTACAAACTCGGGTCTACAACTCGGGCCTTCAATTGAAAGCCCAACTATCATTTGTGGTATAGTGGGACACATGGCGCCATCCATAGATAATATCGACTGCAAATACAACGAATGCAATTTCTACTCTACGACACTGTTTGGCCGACTCCAAGGACCATGCCCAGATGTGGTTGTGTACAGTTTTTCCCTCATAGTTTTCACAAATCTGTAGACAGCCGTGGATGTGTACAGTTGTGGAAGTACGAACGCCTTCCCCCCCAAATTTCCATGCCCATTTGTTCCACCGCCTTTCGTACTGTCGCCATTTTCCCTAGAACTGTTGCAAAACGGAGTATGTGTGACCCCGCTGCCCTTTGGGAAGCCCGGGAAAAACGAAAACGTCTGTCTGGAGAAGTCAGTGGAGGCTTTATGGTAGTCACTCGTGGTGAATGTGTTGTAAACAATTTTGAGAATGGCTAGAATCGTCAATTTCTTCAAGACTATCAGAAATAACTGGAAGAAGTCACTCTTCAGTGCAGCTGTCCTCACTTACGGAACCTCTTATGGTCTTGACGTCTATCAGTAAGTTTCTTCACGATTTTAATGATGGCATAACCTCTCTCGTGAATTACGTTACGGTTTAATTGATCCTTTTTTTATTTTTTTAGAACGAATTTGTTGATGAGAGCTTACTGCGAGGAAGCTGTTAAATTCGGGGATGAGCCTCTTGCTGCTACACGTAAACCTAGGCACATCACAGTCATCTTGAATCCAATAGCTAAAAAAAGGTTCACAATATTCTCTCATATTATGAATAATGGGAGTTAACAGTGGAGTGGAATTAACAATATTAGAGAATTCTCTAGAATTTAATAGAGAATGACAAACCCTTACACAGACCTTATTTGGAGCTTTAATGGGGAGGTTGGGGTGAAATGGACACTTCTGAATTTAAAAAAATGTTAATAATTTATTAAATTCTTAGTGAAGTGGAATCGTCTATTTTTCAATGGAAAGTACAATTTTTTGCCTTTGTTATAAGCCAAGACTAAGATCAATTGATGAAACTGTTTCCGAGTTGAGAATATTTTTAAAAAAGTCAAAAGTGTCCATTTTAGGGTAATAGTTTATCACGTTGTTAATTAAATGAGAATTTTTTTAATGGAAAAAGTTCAATTCTCCCCCTTTGAGATGGGCCTAGATTGAATTTAAGTGACAAATTTGTGTCTGATTTCAGAACATTGAAAAAACTCCATTCAACTCAATTCGATTTATTTTTCTTGATGTTACAAGAGGATTCTTTGTTTTACACCCACACTAGCGTTTCTTCTCCCCCAACCTAACTGAAACAGAAATTTTAATTTAATATTATCCGTATATTTAGTTGTAGGCTGTTCTCACATTTTACTACTAAATCACTTTCCCCTTCTTGCATCTGCACATCACAGTTTGAAAAACAAGTCTAAAGTACCCATTTTGGCTTATCCACCCCTACTTTTTACAAGAATTTAATGGAGAAATTTTTATAGAGAGCTTTCTTGGAGCTCTCAATATTATTGATGAATCGGCTTTACACTTCAGTCGTGATTTGTTAAAATATTATTTCTATTTCAAAACTATTATCAGAAATATTTTGTGCTCTTAATTTCTTTTCATATTCTATAATCATAATGAATGTGAACTATATCCTGTATAGGGATTCTTTGCCTCCCGTTGAAGCAAAATATTCCTATACCTCCGTCAAATCTGTAGATTCTCATCAAAAACTGATCTCGATTCCAACTAGACTTATTTATTTTTACGATTTCGCTCCTTCATTAGTTATAAACAATTCTTAGATAAATTAATTTATCAATTATTTATTATTGTTTTATCCTTCAGAAAGGCAAAAAAATTATTTGAAAAATACTGCGAACCCCTGCTGCACCTGGCTGGTATCGCAGTTACGATTCTCCAGACAGAACAAGAGGGCCATGCTCGTTCCCTAATAGAAAACATGAACACTCCAACTGATGCAATACTAGTGGCAGGAGGAGATGGCACTCTTCTGGACGTGGTGACAGGTCTCCTGAGGAAGTACGAGGGGAACAGGGGGTATGCCAAGCAGTGTCCCATTGGAATTCTCCCCCTGGGGGAGATGAACAGAATAGCTGATGCAATGTTCCTCGGAGGGTATGAGGATCACCCTCTGATCCATGAGATGGCTGATGCCACCATGGCTGCTGTCAGGGGAGGAACGAGAATGGTCGACGTCGTGAAAGTTGAACCACTAAACGTGAATATTAAAAAACTGAACTCCTGGACTCTATTCAATGAAGCGAAATGTTTCGATGAGTTGTTTTCATTTTTCTTTCACTCAGAATGATCCTGAAAATCCAATAAGACCAATTTATGCTGTGGGGACTCTGGAATGGGGTGCCTGGAGGGATGCTCATGCACGAAGGGATAAATATTGGTATTGGGGGTCTCTTAGGAGGTAGTAAAAAAATTAGATTCAATAATTAAGTTCAATTAATTAGAATTTGAATGATCAAGGGCACAGGTCGTGAACCACTTTTTCGCTGGGGAAAATCCTCTCCAATATTTTTTGTTGAACATCAAATATAATTTGAAGAACATTGATTATTTATAAATTCACCCAAATTTTTCTGATGCAATTTAATTGATAGATTTGATTGCGATATTGTAGTACTTGGATTATTTCCATCAATCAGAAATGATATCAAGGAATTATAACGGATAAATAATGTATAATTGTTCATTTGTATCAATTAATGAATTATGAACTTCATTAAGAACCGCGTGTATTATCTTTTGAACGTGATCATTTTTAATTTTTTTATTTTGATAATATGAAGTATTCTCCAATTGCCATTTCGTTTTACACAGCTCAAGATTCTCCAAAAAATAAAAATTACGCAATCAAAATAAACGTTGAAGAAAAACTGAACATTTTCAAAAAGCGTTTTGGAATAATGTTGGAAAATAAACCCAATAGGAAGGAAATTGGAAATTAATAATTTACGGTATCTAATGGCTGTTTGGTCGCCATTTACCACAGTAGCTAATGGCTGTCAGATCGTTAGTTGCCATGGTAAATTATTCATTCACAATTTCCTCTCTATCGGACTTACTTCCTAATCTTTATTGAAAACGGGTCACTTGACATCTACCCAAGAAGCACAATGTGAAGTGATCTTTTAGATGTACAAAAAAACTGCCTCATGTCTATGCAAAATATCATATTTTGGAAAATAGTCAAACAGATACCTGAAATTTATCATAAAGTTATCTAAAAGACCGTCTTACCCAAAGAAAATTTTGCACAGATATGAGACAGTTTGTCTACCTTAATGATAACTATCGAAATTGTGCTCCTTTGTATGCGAGCATCCATAATATTATATGAGTGGTCTCAAAGAGGTTTAAATTCATCCACAGCAGGCCAGTGGAATTATTGCAATTAATTTAATTATTGAATTCAATCTGCGACGTGGTCACGTAATTTTATTATTACCTAAAATCCAATGGACATTGCGATACTCCATCCGAACCTTAATTTAATTTTCATAAGAACTGAATCAATAAAATTATTCTCTGTCCTCCTTTCAGATACATGACATATATATTCAGTGGCATAAAGAAAGACGTAAACTGGGAGATAAATGGAACCCTCCGTTACTCCGAGCCCTGCAGTGGTTGCTCAACATGTTACGACGACAATCAGAGCGCCGAGAGCACCGAAAAAAGGTGGTGGCACGTGTTCATCCCACGAAGAACAGCCTACGCCCAGAACGAAATCGATTACCGAAGAGTTAAGAATGACAAGTGTGGGCAGTACAATGAAATACCGATCAATGCAACAGAACTCAGTTTAATCACTAGTAACGTTAAGAATCCGGTCAAGGAAGGCCCACCGTCTATTAAATTACATTTAGGTAATAATCATTTACATAACGACTTGTTGTTGACATTTGTAGGAAGACTCACACACAGCATTTTTCAAATTTAATAATTCGTTTTGTTTTTCATTATTTTGTTATTTTTGGAAGGCCCGGAATATGTTAGTTACAAAGATTTCGTAGCTGAAGGCTGGAGAAGAATAAAAGGAGAAAAAACGCTTATAAATAAAACAGTAGAGGCCAAAGATATCGAACTTTTACCGAACACTGTAGACGATTCAGTAAGTAAAAACTAAATAACAATTTCAGTTCATTTAGAGGAATGAGAACACAAGAATAAGTTGAAATGACTTGTTTCTCAATAAATTCTAGTTCATGATCTCATTGAGACATTGACCTCATCTCCGTTTCTTCCGAATAATTTTCAACTTTTATTAATAAAAAATGGTAACATTTATTTCAGAATGACAAGCAACAATATTTTTCAATAGACAACGAGGAATTCGAAATGAAACCGGTCAAGATAAAGCTACTGTCTAACGCTGTAAAAATGTTCTCTCAGTAATTACACGATTTATACAAACTTCATGGTTTCATTAATGATTTTTTTTACAATATTTTTAACTATCAACTGGGTACCATAAACTGTCTAATTCGCATATCCTACTTCGAAATTTACATTTCTATCTATTCAATATCAGTAACGAGGCTCTCGGTGATTAAGTACCAAGAAGAGTCTTCTATTTGATTGAAAGAATGCATTTTGGTATCACAATTCTCGTACCAGTCGCAATTTTCGTTAGTATGACGATTAAACCGGTGATTGATTAATTATTCGCAAGTACATGCTCGTATGGAAATATTTAATGGCAAATCCAGTACTTTCTCTAAGAAATGTAGTAAAAATTCCATTTTCCCGCAGATTTCCTATAGATTCAGATTGAAAATTACGCTTTGTCACAAGGACAAAAATTAAATTTTATCAATATATACATTTTCAATACATCCAAAAGAGTTACTCTCTTTAGACATTTTCTGTAAACATTCTCAAACATAAATTTTCCATGTTTTTTTCCGGTATTTTCTCTTTTATTTCTTATCACAAAATTGAAGAAAACAAAACTTGGAAAATTTGTGTCCAGAAATTCCTACAGAAAAAAATTCCAACAGAATAAATGAAATAGAAAAATTCACGAGAAAAAGGCATCTATTGAGTCACAGGAAAGTTGAAAAATTTTCTATAGGAATGGCTGTAAAAAAAAGAATAGATTTCCAATATAAATGCAAGAGAATTTCCATCAAATCTTTTCATACGTACATAGATACTGCTCTTGAACGATTCATGTACTTAAGTATAACAGGCACATTCGAACGATTGCCAGTGGTGATAAACTGCCACGAAAAAAAAACTCGCATAAGTTGACAATTAATTAATTCACTGATTAACGATGTCCTTACGATTCTACCTAGAGTGTTTCAACATTCGTAATGAATCACGAATTGCTCAGTTAAGATATTTAATATCATTGTCTCCATATTTTAGGCAAGCCTTGACAATTAAATCCACCAAGGCCTGAAAACTAGTTCTCTCAACTTTCAAATAATTACAGTATATTAACCCCTAATACTCTAACCGGGCATTGGAAATATTCTTTTCAAGGTTCCCCCCATGATCAACCCCCGAGGCACTTGTTTATCACGATATTCCTAATACCCCTCTCCCCAAGCTCCTCCCAAGAACACATGTGCCTCAAACTCCTATTTACAAATAAAAAACCTTCAAGAAAAATAGAAAGACTGTTCAACCCGAGAGTGAGGATTCCCCTCGGAGCGCCTCCTCCTGGCATTAAAAAAATATAATTGACTCTTTCGTTTCCTCCTCTTACGAGCCATCAATCATCCTTCATTCGTAGCAGTCCCACTGCCCTCGGTTTTGGCAATCAATCTCTGATTGTCCTCTGCTCTTCTCCTCCCCCTTATGCAGACAACTCCCCCAATAAAGAGAAGGAGTACTCCGAGACCAGCAATACCGAAGAAAGTGACGTGCCCCAGAGTTGGGAGAATAAGAACAAACTTCAATTGAGACCCCAGGTCTGAGGACAGATCAGCCTCCTGCCTGAACCACAGCATGGGAATGAAGACTTTTGGCACTTTTTCGAAGAGCCTGATATGCTTGATGGGCTGGATCAGCAGATTCAACTGCAGACGAGCCCTGACCTGCAGGGGAATCCCTAAATCTGGCTGCACGAGAATGTAGAAGTCGTGGGATCCATCGTGGGCTGGTCTGAGTCCATCAATTGAATTGCGATAACTCTCGTCAGCCAGGTGAAAGTGGGGAAGACTGACGAATGCTGGAGCCCCAAATTTGCATGTTGAGACGTTTAAAGTCCCCGAGGGCTGGCACTCAACGTCTTTGCAGTAACATGCTCGTGACTCCACTCTACTACCATTGTCGAAGGTCTCCGGAGTCGCCATGAACTGTTTCCCCTCCAATCCGTCGAAATTCATGATTCCATTGTCGTGTAATGGGACTAGGGTGCAGACATCTGGGGCAAACACAGATACATCCTCGTAATACCTCACTGGGGGCCAGAGATCACCCAGGGATCCGTTTATTTCTCCACATTTTCCAGAGTATATTGTCGATTTCCTCTCGTAGTTCCACTCCCGGAGGATCCCCAGGTCTTGCATGCTGTTGGCTCCGGTGTTCATGTTGAAGGTGCCATCGTACGTTTCTGAACGGTTTCTACCGTAGAACCAGCCGAACTTGTTCCAGGGGATGCCTGGGACGTGGAGTTCTTTAGCGAGGTCAATCAACTTGTCTTCGTAACCATCGAAGAGCAGCTCGCGGACCTTTTTCCGGACTGTTAAACCCTCTTGGAGGACCTCCAAGGCACCGCTTACCATTTGTTTTATTGGTCCTGACTTGTGTCTTACTCTGTAGGCTATTGTCTGTGGAGAACAAGATGATGTTGATTGTTGTAGGTGTGGGAGGGGGTGGAGTGCGTGTGAATTGTTGATGAAACATTTGTTTTTTGTCAATTGTTACCACTTTGGGCCATATTCGGTCATATGTAATGATAATAATGGATTAAAATAATTTATTAAATGGATTTAATAGTAATTGAATGACTTTCGAAATTCATCAAGTCGACGTCTCCTAATAAAAGAAGGGTACGTCAATTTTCAAGATTAGGGTATCTCAAAATTCACGTGAAAGCTTCTTGTTCACATCCATTTCTAAGTCTCCCGGAGCTCGCGAATCATTTTATTTCTCTTCCAATGTGAACTACTTCATGTTATTTGTGCTTTTTGATGCATTCATACCATTTATATAACTGTCAAGAGGAGGGGGAACGTGAAGTTTCAGACGATTTTTCATATGAATTTTGAGATACCCTTTTTTCAAAAGAAAATTGAAATATCCCTTGTTTTATTAGGAGATGTCGAAGTATTAAGAACATTTCTTTTTGTTATTACACGTCTAAATGTCATGGAACGGAATATTTTGGTAATATATCACTTGGGAAAAATTCATATAAAGTTTCAATAGTCCCTTTCATTCAAAAATTTCGGAGACTTGAAAATGGAAAGGCCTATAGGAGATATTTTTACAAAAAATCAATAGACTTGTATATCTCTATATGACTGTTTCTGTTGCGATTGTTTCTACAGATTCTCTATTAATGGGAGAAGAATAAAAAAATGAATGGGGAAATGCTAGAAAATTTAGGGCAAGAAATTTCTGTAGAAACTCTCTGCATAAATTGCATAGAAAAATGAAAATTCATGCACTTCTCTCTATTCAATATTTTTTAATCTTTCTCCGTTATTTTTTATTATTTTTTCTCTATTGAATATTTTTACCACCCAGGTTCTACTTATTTTCATGAATTTGGTTCTTAGTTATGAATATTTAACTGGAAAAATAGAAAGTGACTGAATGGGGGGAGTGAAGATGGAAGTTTTGAAAAACTTACAACTGCAATTGGATTAAGATTCACAATTTCGTCATCCAAAGTACCATTAGATTCTGATGGTAAGAAATGCCAGATTCTTTTTTGATAGAATGTCAATGTGCCATTAGTATTCCAAGTTTTATTGACTTTGTAATCAACTTCTCTGTAAATAGTGAATAATTATAAGATTGTTTGGAATGAGTAGGTTCGAATTTCAGATGAGGTTTTTTATTTACTTGAAAACGTAGGGGCCTTTCTCAATGAAGTGTGGTTTTACTTTTCCCACCAGTTGAGGATTCGTCCAGTGGAATAGATAAATCTTGAGGTACATGGGAATCGGTGTCTCCTTCCATATCGAGAAACTCTTGGAGGTTGGGGATAGAATTAGTTCCTGTTGGGAATAAAATTTGAAGATTAATGAGAAATATTCTGATGAAGGATTTTCAACCTTCACTCCTATGGGAATTGGTACAGAATTATCCAATGGAGAATTGGGATAGTTTCCTATGGAGGCACAAGGGGGGGGGATACTTCTGTTTTCGAAAACATTAATAAGTCATTGAATCGGTGATGGAGTGGGATAATGGTTCTTTTTCATCAGCTTAAGTTTAATTTTATCTATTGTGATGAATGTAGTGACCTGGTTTCATTAAATTTTTCACTTATGAATATTGAAAGAAACTTAGAAGTGGTAATTTGTTTTTCCAGGCTCGGATATTGGAATTGACTAAGTGGTTATAAAAATTGTCAGCACAAAAACATGATCCAATGATTTTACTATTTAAACTTTGAAGGAACATATTCTGCCGCTTCATTTCGAATTGTTAAAAAACATCAAACAAAAACATCTTTGAAGGCTGAAAAAAATCTACTTTGAGAGGAAGATCTATAAAATATTTGAAAAATTCCCATTTTTGCAGATTCAGACCTTTCTTTATAAATAAATCATAAATTACGGCTTTTTCACTCTCATAATCATTTCAGGAACAGAGGGGGAGGAGGCGAGATAGTTCTTACATTTTCAAGAATATTAGCAAGTCATCGGATCGGTGATGGAGTGGGCTCATGGCTTTTCCATCATAAGTTTTTATTCTTTCTTTTCTAATGAAAATATTTGAAGGACTATCATTTTTAAAGATTTAGACATTTCTTCGAAATGATAACAAATTGGTTCATATTTATCCCTGTAGCAGAAACTATAAACATTCCCGAAAGTATAAAGAATTTCAACTACTTTTTTACAAGAAGAAAATGTTCAAGAGTTTGAAGGCTGTTCAACGCCTTTATGATTGACTGACAATCAGAACATCAACTTTTTTACAATGTCCCAATTCTCCATAAGGTGAATGTGTCAGTAACTGAATACTGAACCCAGCAGCTGACCGTACAAATAGTACATCATAGGGGAGATTGGGGCGAAATGACACTTGACATTTTTCAAAATATTTATAACTCCGGAATAAATACATCAATTGAGCTCAGTCTGGACTCATCACAAAGAGGAAGAATCGTACTTTACAAAAAAAATCCTGTTTCCTCAGCCGTTCAATGAATCATTAATATTTAAAAAAATCAAAAGTGTCTACATTACTCCGCTCGCTCCCTTCTTTTTGATGGAGGAAAAACTCAATTTGAGCGCGTCAATTTGTTCGTCTGAATGGGCTGCCAAAATGTGCCCCATAAGAACTCAGGAAATAGGTAGAATTTCCAAAAAAGTTTGGCTACTGGCACCGAGTCAGGTACTGAGACATTTAACGCTCTCTATACGATTATCAAGCCAGGAACTTCGGACAGTGCAAAAGATATGACTCACACGAGAGAGAATTTCATCGAATATTGAACTCCAGAGCACTCCCATTGCCACCCCTACAGCGATAGCAACAATCGCCACCGCAAAAATAATCCCGACCTTCACCTTGGAGACTCCCATCTTCCTCGGTGGTGGTGTCCTGTAATAATTAACCAAAAATGCATGAAAAACCCGCAACAAATCGAATAAATTCTCATAGAACCAAGAACACTAAATTCATATGAATCTGAGACACAAACAGAACCTAAAAAATCGGAAATAATTGGATTATTCTTACACAAGGGAGTCAGTGGGTCCTAACCCCGAGGGAACGAGGGTTTCCATGTCTGACATGTCACATGAAAGCCGAGAGAATTTGGCTCAATGTGACATTTCGGCTTATCCGAGGGTTATTGTTAAAAAAATAGACCGTTGAGTCTTCATTTTCGACGAGAGATAACAATTAACAGTATGTGAATGTGATTGGCGTAATGGGTCGATTCGTCACTGGTCTCTCCGACATCCAATCGTATTTGGCTGATGGGTGACATTATCGTTATGATTCAGTTTACTCGTAAACACTCGACCTTCGATCGCAGAATGACGAGGAAAGTGAGGAAAAAATAGCAATGCGCGGGTTTGAGAAACGGAAGATTGTTAACGACTGCAGCAGATTTAATCTTCGAACACACGCGGTAAGATAATATTATCTGAAGTATAGGAATGTGCATGACAGATCGGAAGGAAGAAATGCGTCCTTTTCCGAATTAAATCGAGAATTTAATTTAGGGCAATTTGATGGTTATTATGACTCATGTTAATGTTTTGGTGGAAAAAATTAATTGACGAGTGTTCATCTTTTTCAAAGAATAATCAAATGCACTTGATTGGGGTCATGAAAAAAGTGAGGAAAAAATAGTAGCACGCGAGAAAAGATAATATTATCTGGAGTCTACAATGTGCATAACGGATTTGAAGGGAAGAAATGCCTCGTTCTCCAAATGAAATTGAGGGAAAAAATTCTATTTATGACAATATGATCATAATTATGAGTTCTGTGAATGTTTTGACTGAAAAAATTAATTGACGTGTTCATCCTTGAGAAATAATACTGAACTACACTTGATTGGGGTCATGGCTCGCGTTTTCATTGGTCTTTCCGACATCAATTCGTATTTGATTGTCTACTATTATCGTTATTATTCAATTTTAATCGTAAATACTCGACATTCGATCCTAGAACAACGAGAAAAATTAGGAATAAATAGCAGGGCGCGGTGTTGAGGGTTTGAGTGATTTCTGTCGACTGCAGCAGCTTTAATCTTGAAACACACGAGATAAGATGATATTATCTAGAGTATTCAATGTGTATGACAGATTCCGAGGGAAGAAATGCGTCGTTTTCCGAATGAAATTGAGGGAGAAAAAATCAATTTATGGCAATATAGGGGAGAGTGGGGTAAAACGGCCCCTTTTAATTTTTTCAAAAATGTTAACAGCTCATTCAATTTTAAATAAAATGGCATAATTATTTTTCCATGGAAACTACACTTTTTCCCCTTTAGAAGTAGCCTAGACTGATCTCAATTAATGAATTTATTTCTGAGTTTTGAGTATCACAAAAAAAGTCAAAAGGGGCCGTTTTACCCCACTCTCCCTTAATGATAAATATGACTCGTGTTAATGTTCTGGCTGAAAAAATTAATCGATGAGTTTTCATCCTTGAGAAATAATATTGAACTGCACTTGATTAGGGTCATGGCTCGCCATTCGTATTTTATTCACCCCTGTTATCGGTTTTATTCAATTTTAATCGTAAATACTCGACATTCGATCGTAGAATGAAGAATAAAAATGAGGAAAAAATAGCAGTGCGCGGATTTGAAAAATGAGTGATTTCTGACGACTACAATAGCTTTGATCTTGAAAAAGACGAGGTAAGGTAATATTATCTAGAGTATCTCGTCTGCATAATCGATACCTGAACGCATCTCATTTGAATTTCAACGGAAGAAATGCGTTTTTTTTTCAAACTCAATCAATGAGGAAGGATTTAATTTATGGCAATTATGATTCATTGTGTATGATTCATCGGAATTTTTATCGGAATTGAATTTCCAGAGTGATTATCTTACCGGTGTAATGGAATTTCGAGGGGACGTCCAGGATTCACTCCGTTTCCATTCTCAGGATTCGTTAGCTCTGTGAGAACAACATCTCCATCAGGTGCCATTTCTCTGGTCTCTCACATCCGCCCGAATTAAACAATTGTTTTTGATGGCAGAAACAGCCAAACGGATGAATGTCGAATAAAGTCTGAGATGATACCGGTCATTCACTCACAGCGTTACACGTACACACGGGGAGAAATTCTATAGAAAAACTGTAGTGCTAACACGGGGAAAAGGGCGGCCGGGGAAAAATTCCTGTGCCGGCACTGAAAATTTTATTGAGTAGCACGTGAATTTTTCCCATTCTTACACTAAAAAAAATCACACTTTTTAAGAAGTACGTCTTTACTTATGAAATGTATTTACTGGTATGAAGAAACTCATGATCAGAGATAGGCAATTTCGACAATCGTAATACAATTACGACAAAATCGTAATATCATTTAAAATTGTTTCATTACATACAAAATCACGTGACTGTCTTTTACAATTTTTCGAATTTTATTATAATTTTTATTATATTAACTATCAATCAACATTTTCAATTTTTCATATATTCTATAAATCAGTAATCAACTTCGCAAGAATGATGATTATTTGATTAATCGAAAAATCGAATTCAAATATTTAGAATTGATTGTCTAATATAATTGAGAATTGAAAATTATTTTCAGATTTAAATGAACAAGTAAGGAACTGTGATTAATCTATGGTAAACTTCTTTAAAAATCACTTAGTAACTATTTTTCCCGATTCCTGCTCATGACTTGAAAATTGGCAAGAAAAGAATACCTTACACTACGAAAAGATAACTTTTGCCAAGAGATTTTGTACTTTATCGAAAGCTAATAGGCAATTGGGTCACAATAGTCAAGTGGTTTTTGCATTAAAACAGCTATTTATTTGAGACTGAAAAACTATTGAATACGTTGTCTCAACTAGACTTGATTTGGAAAATCAATCTTGTCATAAATCAATTATCCTCGTCTTCGTGAGGAGTACAACATGGCTTGACGAACGTTTGTTTCTCGTGCCTTAAATTTTCCCAGAAATCCCCGAAAATTTTACCTTAATAGCACTAGTTTTTCATAGCCGATGGATCGGGATTTTTTCCAGTACCAGCCCTAGAATTTTTCTGGAGAATTTCTCTCCGTGCGTCTACAAATATTGTCTTTGCGTGGAGAAGGAATGACTACCTGCGCCCCGAATTATCCAATTACACTTAACGAAGAGAAATAGTAAAATGAATGAATTTTGACTGGGACCTGAGATGTTACCGGTTCGTCACTGAACTTGCCGACGAGAGGAGTTTCAAGTTCCTCCCCCAATATCTGCGCAATACTTAATCAATATTAATTCGGAGATTTGAGATCAATTCAGAATTGATTTTGATTATATCAGCGAATATTACTGATTGTTGTATCTCGGGATTATTTAAAAAATGGTAGACGATCAAATTCGAAAGATCAGAAATCACAAACTCTTTCTTTATCAAGAATTCATTTTTTTTCTTTATTGACGCGGATGATGCAGTATCTATTGATCGTGCATGCTTGATTGATCTTTCGCTCTCGTTCTCAATGCAGAATTCACTCACTGGAACTGACGGTTGCGTACGTAGCCTGAACGATACTAATTGCCATCGTTAAAACACGCGATTCTAAGTTCACGGATTCATCACACTTCCTGCATATTCCTCCAGTCACACGATTGTTTGTTAGTCATTGAATAATGATGAACGCGTATTAATCCAAACGCTTCGACGAACTCCACTCATTTGTTTCTTTTATTAAATAACAGAACAGCAGAAACTTTTATTTCGTTCACCGTCGAATAATTTCTCGAGTAGTTTGAATCACCGGGGGCTGTTCAATTGACACCAACCGCTATATTAGGAACTGCTGAGCATTAGAGAGTACGATAACTACTGCCAGCATTTTCAGGATGGCGGTATTTGAGGCGAATGGAGAGGGACAATGGACATATTCAATAATCATTGAAAAATCGTCTAGGGAACAAAGTTCGATTTACTTTTTTCGTGTTTTTCCGTCAAATCTTTCGGTAATTACTCCATATAGATTAACGAGGCCGAGCGTGATTTCGGTAGGTCGTGATAAGGAGCGGACGATTGATATTTATTTTAAGAGATGAGTGGGTTAATGATATGTTGAGTGAATAAGTTAATGATAATTGGGGAAGGATTATCCAGGAAATCTAGGCAAATTTTACTCTCCAGAGGATAATTGGGCAGCTGAAAAAATTCGATGAAAAAATTCGATAGAAAAAACTTAGCGAATTCGCTAGAAAATTCTACTGGGATTCTATTCAAATTCTAGGGAATTCTCGTTAAAATTCTATTTCTTTTTTTGCAACGGTTCTATGAGATATTTAGTAGGAAAAAGGCAACAGATTTCGATTTTTCTATGTGAATATTCTCGTGGAATTTTTTCGATAAGAATACTTGGACATGAACATGGACATTTATCGACTTATCGCCCTTTATCGCTTCGCTACTGAAATATTTGGCCTGAACAGAATCGAAGACAGCAGAGTTAATAATAATTTAAATCATCGGAAGCTGCCGACCAAGTACGTATTTTCATCATTTTCATCTTATCGTGGCAATATATGATCATGAATTTTTTACATCTGGACTCTAGCATTCGATTTTGTCTTATCTCCTGACTCATTTTCACTGCTATGATGAATCCGTTATTATTCCATCAAGGCTTGCATCGAAGTGGACGCTTAAAAATTTATTGAGGGACAATGAAACAGCGCCTTGATTTTCCGGAACGTGAGGATGACGTTCATGAATAAATCCCGGGGCTTTTTATATCAAAAGAATTCAAGAGGCGTTTAAATTTATTCGAAATCAATGGTCTTATTTTTGAAACGCTCACTCTTTCACGGAGATATAATTCCAATAGGGTGGGGTGGGATGAAATGGACACTTTTGACTTTTCTAAAAATAGTCATCACTCAGAAGCAGTTTTATCAATTGAGCTCACTCTAGGTTCATCGCAAAGGGGAAGAATATTGCTTTATACTGAGAAACTTATTCCATTTCATCAACAATTCAGTAAATCATCAGCATTTCAAAAAAGTCAAAAATGTCCATTTTACCCCACCCTCCTCTATTCTGGGTAAAGCTGTTCTATTGTGTTGAAAGATTTTCTATGGAAATTCCGCGACATAAATTTTTCCAGTATTTCCCCTCCTTTTTTTCTCAGAGAAAAGTTCAAGCCAGGGATAGCCATATTCATGAATCATAATTACCGTTAAATTTTGAAGCCGTCAATTAGTTAACATCTTAAACTTTTAATCATTCAAGTAATCATCAATTTAAATATTCAAATTTTGAACTATTAATCAATAATTAGGCAGGAAGATTGCCGATTATTTGATTAATAGATAATCCCTTTTAAGAAATAAGAAATATTCACTTAATGGAAAGTTTACAGTTCTGTAC